CGTACATATAATCAACACGTCTGTCAAAGCCGCTTTGAATGCTGTCTCTCGCTCGCGAGCGCAACGATGACAACTATATGCACGAGCTTTGGCTTGGTAGTGGTGTATATGGAACGCGTGTAGAAACGGTTCGCATGATACACGATGCACACAGATATTTGCGTTGTTTGGTGCATACACGCAAATATCTGTACGCAGTTTTTGCGCGCGGAAAATTCCGAGCTCGATGAATATATGGAGAGAGAGAGAAAGAGAGAGAGAGAGAGGCGTGTGTCGGCATCGTATGTATAACGAAACTCGAAAAAAATAAATAACATAAAACTGGAACAGTTTTGATGGAAGTAGCAGTGCGCGTAACTCTCCTGGGGATTATGGGGTTTTTTATTTTTTCGCGTCTCTCTTATTTTTATACATGTTGCATGATGTACTTCGTCGTCGTTGCCGTCGTCGGCAGGCGTCACATTGTCGTCAAGCTTTCGCGCATACATCTGCTTTGGATATAAAACGTACGATCGTAAGATGAGTATAGAGTACCGTTACCGCGTGATATATTATCATTATTATTATATTATAATACATAAATTCGATGCATCTATCTCGGTGCAATCGTCGAATTTATGTACATTCGATCTTGTTGTCTGCATGACCAGGCGCACGTTTCAATAATATGAAATTCAATTTTAGCTTTCATGCCAAAGCTCCACAGTTTACAAACGCAGCGCATAATAATATAACCTCGTTCGAGAAAAAAACAGCACACGACCGCGCGGCGCGTGAGCCATTTAATGGGACAAGCAAGCAATTGACCCGCGCGCGCGCGCGAGTAGAATAGCAGATGTAAACATTAAAAGTGCAGTAACTCGCGGTGCTGCAGCAGCTCTACTCGAGCAGTAAATCTCTCTCGTATATGTCGCATACGTATACGTTATAGCTATATAACTGCATCGTGATAATGGCAAACTCTGCCTCGGCGCTGCACTTCTTAGAAAATCAAAATAGACCCCGATTCCGCACCGTTCCATTTGTTTTAGGCCGAGCCGCTGATCGTAAGTGCGCTCAATAGCAGTAAGTTGCAGCGGCGGCAAATGTTTTCCGAGTAAAATTCGGACTCATTGGCCCAGTTTTTCGCTTTCTACATAACGTGATAATATTTGAAAGACTACTCGGGGCACTACATACAATCCATCCGACTCGCTTTACTTCGCTTTACTTTTGATTTTTTTATTTTCCGGATACTGCGTGTATATAACACGAGCTGTGCTGCGCTGCACTTTAATCCTGTGCGTGTGCACTCACGACGATGAAACATAGAGCAGCTTCAGCAATCCGAGAATAGTGCTCCCTCCCAAAAATCGCGAATTCATGAAATTCATAGAGAAAATAGAGTGAGCTTTTGCGCTTCTCGTAATCCACATAGTAGTAGTGGTAGCGACTAGGCTATACAGCGTGATTAAGTTTTAAATTTTAAATTATCGAGCCGCATAAAGCTTATATCATGTATATTCGAAACGCACACATACAGAGACACGCACGTATATCTATAATACAGTTTATATGAAAGGAACTGCTTATGGAAGCCGACAGGCGCTTTAATGAATTTTCATGTGCTCGGTAGCAGCAGCAGCTCGTGTTACGCAGCAGCCTCGACGTGAATTATGTACGACGAATGAAATTATTCGTTCGAATTCGCTCGCGAATCGGATATAAAAGTCGATTTTGGAAAAAAAAAGATAAATGAAAAGCCACTGCCGCCTGCCACTGCTGCCGCTTTTTTTCTCGTTGCGATATCGCCGTATATTTAACTAATCGTTCGACGCTTGCGCGTCCGACCGAACTCGATTAAAACTCGGCGCAGTGCAGGCTGATTTATTTTTGCGCGTGGGGCACAGCAGGATAATCCTAGGCAACGCACGCGCATGAACGCCGCAGCACAGAGTAGCATATAAAGTCACGTTGTAAAGAGTAGAGCCACTACTGCTGCTGCTGCAAAAAAAATGGGAGCTTATACCGCGCGTTTAACACGCGAACAAATAAAGAGAGAAGAGTAGACCCCCCTTCTCATGCGTGCGTATGTGTGTGTGTGTGGAGCGAGGCTAACGAAAATTCAGCCAGCTAGAACGAAGCCACTTAAAATACATTGCGCATAAATATAATGTACACCCCGGCTCTCTCTTTTGCTCTTTGCTCTTTGCAATATGCGTGTGCGTGCATGTGCAGTGTATAGACCTGCATTACACACACTCATACAGACACGCAGGATACGCTCTTTATCGCCGTCAATGTATCTCGGTGTGTGTATATAAATAAGCTGCGTCTCTCACAATTATAATAATCATATACGATACACTATACTACACGCACATGTATAGAGGTCCGCTCGTACGAGCGGTGTGAATGACGGGACGATGGAACAAAAAAAAAGGAAGAAAAAAAAGGAAATTGAATGAGACTTCGACCGCTGCTTGTTGCATCGGTGCAGCTGAGCAATAAATTCGATAATCGGCCGTGTGCGCGTTGAAATTTTCGGCTTTGTCTTTCTCCACTCTTTGTCAGCTAGCTGCTCTTCCTTTGCGCATTATACGATAGCAGAGAAAGAGAAAGAGATGAGGATAAAAAAGTCGGAATAATCGAGCGGTGGTGTCGCGCAGCTTGATGCGATGACAGCTAATACCGTACGTTGACTAATCTGGCCGATTGGTTATAGTATAGTAAGTCTTTGACTTTTTGTAAACAAAGTTTCGGAATCGCATTAGCAATTTTTAGCCGCTATCATCCACATGCAGTCTGTGTACTCTTTCGTGCTCCGTGTATATGTATCGACTTTTATTATATATCGTTTTGCGGCACCGGCCGAAAGGACGGCCCTGTATATGTACGTTATGTTTTTATTCGACCCGGGAAAGTACACGTACGTACGTATACGTGGAAAATTGAATTTTAGCCAACAGCGCATTTATCCAATTTTTATATCGTATATACATCCAGAGAGAGAGAGGGAGAGAGGTCGTCGTCGCAAGGGAGAGGAAGAAGAGAAAAAATTTTTATCCCCTTACGTGCTCTCGAATTTTTTTTCTGTTTTGTTCTTCTTTTAATGCGAGAAAAAGAAAAGAACAAAGCACGAGCGAGCTCGACCCCGCGCGCTTAAATAAACAGCAGTGCGCGTATAAAAAAAGCATCGAAACTGTCTTTTTTTTCGCTTCTCTTATTTTTTTCGAATTTTCATAAAACCATATCTCTTCTTTCTCTATACAGCTCGTAACAATACATACGAAATAATGCAAATAAGATGTTTACAAAGCTGCTGGCTCCGAGACTGAAAGACAACTGAATTAAACGTTTTCTCGAAGTCAAACGAATGCCGGATTACGGAATTGTCGTCTAATTTTCTAGTAAAATTTAGCTCCGAAATAGGAGCTGCTCTCTTTATATAATGTCTCGCTCGTGTACCACGTGCCGTACATGTATAATATTGCGAGATGATAATTGCAAGTGCGTGGAAGCATAAAATACATCGTTGTACCGCTGCTGCCGTGTCATCGTCGTTTTCGTCTTGGTCGTCGTGGTCGTCGTCGACGTACGTAATAAGACTCATCTGCCTCCGAAAACGCTAACGAGCTCGTGTGTAATCATGTGCTTTCGAGAGGCAGAGGCTGCTGAGCAAAATCACGTGCGCTGCACTCTAGATTTTATAAACTTTGTTTATTTCGATCGCGTGTTGCGTTGCGTGTGCACCGCGTACTTTTTATCTCGCTTCTCGCGTGCAAAAGTAATAATTTATACCTTTACCTTGTTACGGCTTGATTAAATATTTGATTTTCATTTTCTGCTTTTTTTTCTGTTTTTTTTTTTTTTTTTGTAAATATTACAGATTGCTAGAGTCGTATGTACGTTTGTTTATTAAAAGTGTGACGTGCCATAACGTATTTTTATCCCGTTGTCGCCCTCGCGTCTCTATCGCGTCTCTATCGCGTCTCTATCGACGTTACATGACGCCGTATCCAATAACCTGTAATTAGGAAAATTACTATACCAGTGTGCGTCGATACCGCCGCCGACGCCGCGAGACTTGCGCCGATCAAACGGTAATTATCAATTCGCGTCCGTACGCAGCAGCAGCAACTAAGCAACAGCAGCAGCAGCAATAGCAATACAGCTAGCGAACCCTGACCCACATGCGTCAATATTTTTCTCGACAAAGCGTACAATATACGTGTCGATTCTGTCTAGTTTTGAGCGCAAAAATTAACAAAGCTGATTTTCGAGCCTCACTAAGATGTATTATACGTGGTCAGAGGCGCTAAAATTCGAGTCGTTTTTCTATGGAGCTAGCCCCAGATGCGATGACCTCTTGGCGACGCGTTTGACAGCTTTATATTATTATGTGTATCGGTGGCGCTGACACACTATTTCCGAATCTAAAATATACTCGAAGCTTTTTCAAAAAGAAAAAGAAGACATCTCGAGGAATTCACGTCTGTCCACGTGCGTGTAATTTATTATAACTAATCGGAATGTGTGTGTACGCGTCATGTATACAATAGAGACCGACGGTTAGCGCGCGTGCGATCGATTTGAATTTTTCAAGCACACGCCTCTTACGCAATCGAGCGTGTTGTAAAAATTGTACTTTTTTCATGAAGTCTTTCTCTCTCTCTCTCGTCGCGTTAAAAGGCGGACGTACTCTACAATACACGCTGTGTCTTGTCCTGTCTCGTGCTCCTCTCGCGTTACGCACGCGCGAATAAGCATGCAATTTCCCGACAAGGAAAGAGAAAAGAGACGCGCAGACAGATCCAGAGAATATAAGAGGGAAAAGTTGCGAGCTAGCGGTGGCGTAATATTGGCCTGCTATTCTATACGCGAGAAAATGGCTCGGCTTCTGTGTGCGGTTTTTTGCGAGCGCGCGTGAGCTTTTCCGCGCTTGTTTCTTTTCTCTCTCTTGGCAAAGCTAGGCTGGCAGCCAGGCAGGCGCAGGAAAGAGACGCGGGGCAAAGAGAGAGAGAAAGAGCCGAAGCTCTCCGATGTCGCCGACGTCGCCGCCACCACCATTGCCTCGCGCCGCACTCGCAACGCAGCGGTTTGATTCAGGTTATTGCCCGGCAAAAGCTGCTGCTACTGCTGCTGTTGTATATAATATACACAGAGCCGACACAAGGTTGCGGCAGCCAGGCACAGCAGTCGTGTGCGCCTCCCTCTCTCTCAACTCCACTGTGCAGAAATATACGTCACTTTTTTCGCAGTATACTCGCTTGAGCATTTGACCTTTTTTTCGGTCGAAATCGTACTTGGTCGGATAGATAGAAAAAGAGAAAAATAAGAAGTAAGCGAACAGCGGATATAAATTGAAATCGTTTGACATCGTAACCCGATGGTTGTCTCTTCGCGTTATTATGTATATAGCGCTCCGGGCAATTCCGAAGTCGCGCAATTATATTTCGAAATTTCATATTGTTCATTACGGCAATTGTCCTTATGCCACCGCTGCTGCCGAGTGTACGTCCAACGAGCCGCATATGTATAGTCGGCCACCGAATCCAATTATCTTTCTACCTTTCGCGCGCGCGCGCGCGCCGTCAATTTATTAATTGGCCACGCGCGCGGCGCGTAGTCCGCGTCGGCCGTGTATTTTTGTGCCTGTGCAGAGAGAGAGCTCCCCCGCGCGCACGCGAACACGATTACAATCGCGTTGTAATTCACGTCGCGCGCGCGAGCTTACATATACTACTGCTGCTGCACGCAGACGTCCAGCGCGCGAGTGCGGATATAATATAATATATTATTGTATTATATGTATATAGTCCGGGCGCTGGTGACATTTGAGTGGACTTACGAGATCCCCTCGGCGAGTTGACGGATTTCTATGTTTTTTGGGTCGCTGAAACCGAATTTGAAGGTCGCCAGGCCGAAATCCTGGTCAATTTTTTGTTATAAACAAATTAATTGTTTAAACAGCCATATCTTGAAAAATATTGAAGATAGATTAAAACAATTTGTTTTTATTTTATTCGTCTTTGAAAAACAAAGAAATTCCATTAAATTAATTGAAAATCCGTCCACTAGAAAAAAAGTTATGCAATAATTAGTGTAAAATACGTCTTTTTTCACCTTTCAACCTCTGTAACTTTGCTCGTATTAGTGCGATCGAGCTCCTGGACGTCTCATTTTAAAGGTAATAACCTACAGAATGATGTAACATAATTTTTATGTAGGTAAAATTGTTTATAATGCAATCTGTAGACGTGTATAAACGTAATTTTATGGCTCTGACGTACTTTCCATTTGTTTATACGCGTTTTTTGCTGAGATAAATTATTAAAACAACGTGGTAACTTAGTTCAAATGAAAGTACATCAAAAAACAAAAATTTTAAGGGGTTTAGGAAGAAAATCGGTCCAGTAGATGCCAAGTTACAGCCTTCTGAACTAGCGCGTAGAAACCAGCGAGCGCTTAGGGCGTGCACACTGAGGCAACATGAACTCATGAACCAAGCTCAGACTTGTTTGTAACTTGGCATCTACTAGACCGATTTCCTTTCTAAACCCCTTAAAATTTTTGTTTTTTGATGTACTTTCATTTGAACTAAGTTACCACGTTGTTTTAATAATTTATCTCAGCAAAAAACGCGTATAAACAAATGGAAAGTACGTCAGAGCCATAAAATTACGTTTATACACGTCTACAGATTGCATTATAAACAATTTTACCTACATAAAAATTATGTTACATCATTCTGTAGGTTATTACCTTTAAAATGAGACGTCCAGGAGCTCGATCGCACTAATACGAGCAAAGTTACAGAGGTTGAAAGGTGAAAAAAGACGTATTTTACACTAATTATTGCATAACTTTTTTTCTAGTGGACGGATTTTCAATTAATTTAATGGAATTTCTTTGTTTTTCAAAGACGAATAAAATAAAAACAAATTGTTTTAATCTATCTTCAATATTTTTCAAGATATGGCTGTTTAAACAATTAATTTGTTTATAACAAAAAATTGACCAGGATTTCGGCCTGGCGACCTTCAAATTCGGTTTCAGCGACCCAAAAAACATAGAAATCCGTCAACTCGCCGAGGGGATCTCGTAAGTCCACTCAAATGTCACCAGCGCCCGGACTAATATGTCTCGTTCCGGCCTGGACTTAATTGAACAAAACACAATCATCCATCTTGATCCGCGCGCAGTCGAGAGAACTCGTTGTTGGTGAAATTATTTTACATCATGTAAAGAATAAAAAAAAGCAAAGTTGCTGAAAGCTGCTGTGAACAAAATAAAATAAATTATTATCGGGATCTCGAACCAATGAAGCAGTAAATTATTCGTCTTGCTCCGAAAAATATATCGACAACAACAACAGCCGGCGACCAGATCTCGTGCAAAATCCTGTATAAAACTCCATCATCTTGACACTCGGTCATCATCGACGTCGTCATCGTGGGCGTTCTTTATATTATACGTGTGCTAGTGCTGGTGCTAGTACGTGCGTGTACATACATAATACATCGATATTTGCTTTTTCTTCCCTCGAATTTTCTTCCTCGAGCTCCGAAGTGGAATTATTTCCTGGTCAATTTCGACGCTATCGAGTACGGAGATTTCTCCTTTCTTCCCCACCTTCGTCTTCTTCTCTCTCTCTAGCAATCTGTAGTTATAGTCCAGCAACAACGTGTGTGCACACACGCGGCGCGTATAAATACACATACGCAGGCAGTCACGTACATTGCCGAAATTATATATAAGGGCAGCAGCTAGCAGCTAGGTAGCAGCAGCGGTAGCAGCCACACAAAGGGGCGAAGCGACTAGAGAGAGAGAGAATGAGAGAGCAAAAGAGGTGGAATATCCCCCTGCGTTAGATGAGTCATCTGGCGCTCGGCATATAGCGCTGTGCTGCGCTGTGCTCAGAGAGCTACGTCGATCGATACACGTGCCTACGCTGGAATTTCCTAGGGACTACCTCATGCGCAGAAAATGAAGGGAGCCAACAGCAGCAGAAGCACCCCTCGACACACAAACACATACACACACACATAGGAGAATACAGAGGGAGCGCGTCTTGACTATAGCCTAGCATACGCAGTACGCACACACACGTATAAAGCGTCGCGTTCACGCATGTATTACGTTATATATACATGCACTACGCGCCACATGCGAGAGAGAGAGAGAAGCTGCGGAATATAAAATGATAAAGAATTTAGCGCGCCTCCACTAAGTTTATTGCGCTCGTGGCAATTCTCGTGCGAGCTTGCGTAACGCCTGATTCGTAGCCGCAGCCACTGCTGCTACTGCTGCTACTGCTACCGGGTGTTATTCGAATTTATATATTTATTATGCAACCTTGTTCGAGAGGGTAGAGAGACCGATCGTTTTCTTTCTTTTTCTCTCTCTCTGCGTTATTCGCCCACGCACTGCGAAAGGCATAATAACAATAAAGTCTGTATGAGAAGTGGTCGAAGGGTGGCGCACGCCAAGTTTTGTTATTATTAACCGAGGCATGATCGGACTCGCGTTGAAACCGTACGTAATAACCATAATAATAAACCGAAATTAAATGAGCGTTTGACCCTTGTCGACAGAATCGCGGGTCTGTACTGCCTTGTTTACTCTCTTTTCGAACTCCGAAAATTACAGAGAAGTTTTTGGGGCGAATCGGTTTTATATTATAAGTACACACTGATACACGTGTATGGCACTCGGCAATTCATGTACGTGTACGTATTTGTTCATCGTCGTCGTCCATATCTTTTAAATATATGAGCAGTTTTTTCATATATGTACAACTTTTGTGCGGGGGGTTCTCGGATCTGCCCCAAAATTTAGTATGTTATTTGGGTATGTGAAAATAGCCTTCAGGTAAATTTTTAGCCCTCTAGGGGCCTTAGGGCCCAAATTTGGGACCCTCGAAGGTCCAAAAATAGCCGTTTTTACCTATTTTTGCGTATTATTCAAATATTTGTAACTCGGGCACCGGTGCATATTTTTTAACTCTGAGGGTCGCATTTTTTAGGTCAAGACATGTACTTTTCGTAAAAAAATTATGTAGAGCTCGATAGACCAACCCCCGGTTATGGGGGGGCAATGAAGGGGGATGAAAAATCGCAAAATTGACGTTTTTTAGCTTTTTTTGAATTGATGCAGAAGGCGACTGGATTGACGTATTTACTTTTGCAACGTCTCATTTTAAAGGTATTTTTATTACCTTTAAATTGCCGTGCGCAGAATTAAGATTGGTTCAAAAACGACGGAGATAGAGCTGTTTAAAGGTGTCAACATTATGAAAAAAGGCGTTTTTTCGAGATTTCGATAAGCTGTAACTTTTTTCTAGTAACATGAATCTCTTTGAAATTTTATGTGAAAGTAGTTGATTACATGTAGTTTGAAGCCATGTAGGTAAGGATCTTGGTATTTGCCTCTATAACCGAAAACGAGGCCCCCGAAATCCGGCACTTTAGCCCTTATATAGGCAAAATACATGTTAAATTGGGCGGCAAAACTATTTGGTAACTCCTGAAATTATCGCAAAATAAACATAAAAAAAAAATCAAAAACCCCATATTAAACGTATTTTTCGACGAGGAATCCAATGGTAACCTCGAATTTGACCTTGAACATAACCTCTAAACTATAGCGAACCAAAATTGATTTTTCGCACGGTGACCCCCTTTTTTTATTTCAGATTTGAAAAGAGCGGAAAATTTCACGTTCAAATACATATTTCGTTTTTTTTTTCAAGGTAATTTTAAGGGCCCCACAGTTTGAAAATGAAGGCTCCATTAAAACTAATATTAAACTCAGCCAAAGAGTTTATTCTTGATCTGTGGGGCCCTTAAAATTACCTTGAAAAAAAAAACGAAATATGTATTTGAACGTGAAATTTTCCGCTCTTTTCAAATCTGAAATAAAAAAAGGGGGTCACCGTGCGAAAAATCAATTTTGGTTCGCTATAGTTTAGAGGTTATGTTCAAGGTCAAATTCGAGGTTACCATTGGATTCCTCGTCGAAAAATACGTTTAATATGGGGTT